TCGACTTCAACAATACTCCGTTCAATTACACACTCTCTGACTGCAGTTCAATTACTCATTACCTCCGTCGCTTCGTGGCCGGACATATATATACAAGACTACACTATATCTAGAAGAAACACGAGATTTAAGCAAAAGACGTGAATGTTCGAGAATGACATGGAGTGATACTAGTCACGTGACCTCGATGTCGTAACAGTATATGTTTTATATAAAAACCATTGCAGTGAGTTTACACCATAAGCACCCATATTAAAAGCAATCCTTTTATGCATTCTATGTAAAGAAAATGACTAGCATATAAAAAAAAAAAATTGTGTCCCTTCTATCTTGTAAAATTAGAGTAGATATGTATATTACCAACCTCACTTCGAAAAATATTATCTATTTGTTTTACATACTGCTGTACAGTATTAACTCTCAACATGGGCTTGGTCAATTTGACCGACCATGTGACCTCTTTGTTCTTGTTTAAAGTCTTTATAGATTTAATACTTCAAACTTTCAATATAGTGGCAGTCTTTTAATTAACATTATAAGTCTTTCACATACAAAAAATCTTATTTTTATTGATGTATTTTTAATAATTAAAATAAAGATTTGTCCATGAATATATTGAGTATTTGTTTTGAATAGTCTGTGTGCAAATTAACTTTCCTGTTAAGATTAAAAATACTTTTCTTTATCTCAAAAATCTCAAATTTCCTTTGTGTAATCCCTAAAACCTCCTAAATACATTTCAAACATTTTTTTTTTCAGTAAAACTTTATATTTTATCTGTTATTTTCTCTACCCTATCTCTATATGGGATTGGTCAATTTTACCGATCTTATAACCATAAAAAAAAAATCGAAATAAATTTAAATTAGCATTTTTTCTTTCCAGAATAACTTCATATTGTAACATGAAACTACATTCATTTATCCTAAGTAGCTTCAAACTCATCACAGTATACATCTATTTATAATTAAATTTTATTGTTTTATTGCCCTCTTGATTGCCTTTTGTACCATGTCTAACTACTATTCACACCATTATAAGTTGTAAATCACTCGGGGAACATGCAGCTCACGTTACCCTATTGAATTGCATTACCCATGAGCTACTACCAGCTGCTTATGTGCGTGCCTCATGAAATATTTTTATTGTATTATTATTATTTATTTTCCCTAATTTAATCTTAACTAACTAAGATCCCTATTTTTACATTTTAATTACGTTTTATTAATAATAAAGAATAAACATGAAAAACAAGAAATAAAGTACTTACCCAATCTTCTTTTATACTAATGGTAATAATGCAAAATTTTTTTATTTAATTAAATAATGCACTAAAGAACATAGATTAATAGCATGCAAAAAATAGACAATTTCCCCTAACTCTTAAGATTTTTCTGGCATTTTAACTAAGCAACAAGAGCCGTTACAAATTCATCCAAGCTAGTCATTAACTTTCCTATGCGAATAAAGTTTGAACTCTGAGTGAAATTGATGCTCATTTGATAGATGTAAACCTTGACTTTCTATTAGTTATGGGTAATATATAATTAAAGGTAAGAAGTAACTATTAACAAATCCTGAAAGAGAGGATGTGACAGGTGGGTGTGGCAGGAGGGGTTTGATTTTCTGTTTGATACTCTGTAAACAAGCAAATTGAAGGCTATAAAAATTATGGTTTGTCTAAGCAATGACAATTTTGAGTGAGTAATTTGCATTTAATTTCGTACACCTTAGAGGGGTGGAGGATAAAATAGAGAGGAGAAGATACCTAGAGAAAATGTGTCACACTAGGGTTAATTCAGGATTTTTTTAAATATTGTTTATAAAATTAAGAACTTAAAACTTATATACTATTAAAATATGGATTATTAGCTAAGATTTTATGCTATGCTAATTGGTATAACTTAAAAATACTAGTTTAATAAAATTTTGAATGTGAGACACCAAAAATTTGTGTTATGCGCAGTAAAGGATACCAGTGGCGATAGGGTTAATGTGTGTTTAAAAGGAAATTAGGTTTGTGTGACATTGTTTATAATGCACAATTTCATGCACTGTAAATCTGGTACATTATCATGAAGGCCAACTTTATATCCTTTTAATTACTTTTTTTTTTCAAAATGATGATTTTACTGTTAAAAGTTTTATACAATTAACCTTGAATCTTAAAACATATTTTAATGATTGTTAGCAGCACTGAGCAAGCCAAGTAAATGTATTTACCTATTATGTAAATAGGACAAGAATGACTTTTGTTTAGAGAGCTTCTCAAAGAACAGTTCTTTATGAGAATATCTATGCATTTTTACAGGCCCAACTAAAGGATTATCAACGAGATGCTGAAGAGGCTCGCCAATCTCATGATGAGCTACTTACCCAGACTAAAGAGATGGAAAAGAAGGTTAAAAACATTGAGGCTGAGTCAATCCAACTACAGGAAGACCTAGCAAATTCTGAGCGAGCTCGTCGCACAGCTGAGGCAGAGAGAGATGAACTACAGGAAGAAGTGAACAACAATGCTTCCAAAAGGTAAAAAAAACATCTATTTTTAAATGCACAAGATTAAAAGAACTTTGTTCCATTTAGTAATATGGCTGTTTTCAAGAAGCACTAAAGATATAAAAAGCAACTAACTTAGAAAAATATCTAATTCATACATTTTATGGAAACAGTAATGTTTATTTTTGAATTTTTAATTTATATTCTCTACCTTAATATATTTTACAAGAATTTTATGTGATTGAACCTTTTTAAAACATTCTTTTCGTAAATAATTAATCTTTTTTTTTTTTTGATATTTTAACATTTGCACTGATGCATGCATATGCATTTATTGTTTTTTGGTCAAAGAATTTATGATATGCATCAGTTCTTTTGGCAATATAATAAATATTAATATTGAAAGTTGCATCTGAGTTGATATATCTGTTGAATTAAAAACAAAGATTTATATACTTTTTTTTTCAAGTCACTTCACAATTATAATTTTTAATAATCAGATGAAAGAAGATAAATTTATTATTATTTTTTAAGTTATCTTGTTCACAAACTTCTGTCATAGTTCACTTTTGCAAGAAGAGAAGAGACGTCTTGAAGCAAAAGTACAACAACTGGAGGAGGAGTTGGAGGAGGAACAGAGTAACTCAGAAATCATGATGGAGAAAGCTCGTAAAGCCCAAAGCCAGGTATTTTATATTAATGTACAACAGTTTTTCAGGTCCATGTAAGAATCAACATATTTTGATATATTTTTCTATAACTGTAAGTTTTAGGATACCTTTTTATGTAGCTGAACTGTAAAAACCCCAAATTTTTAATCTTTTTGGCATATGCTCCTTTGCTTAACTTTACTGACACAAAACCTCATCTCAAGTTGTTCTTTAGTTAATGTATATTTGTGCACTTTGATTAGCAAACTTCAGACAAAACATTCCTTTTAATTTTATGTTAAAATTTCAAGATTTTAAAGTTAATACAGTTGTTCTTTATCTTTGTTGGGTATTAGGCTTAAGATGGTCATTCAAATTTTTTTCATAGATTGTGATGCAATTAAGATAAGAGATCCACAAAACTGAGATTACAGGGTAATTTTATTTGTTACCTAGTACATTATTAGGCTTACAATACTCAACCCACCCATCAGTGGCTCAGCAGTAAATCTGCGGGCTCACACCGCAAAAAAACCTGGTTTTGATACTAGTGGTGGACACAGCACTGATAGTCCATTGTGTAGCTTTATGTTTGACAACAAACAAACAAATAAAATTACTTAACACAGGTACAGCTTTATATAAGTAAGCACATTGTTTACTCTCCTTAGCATAGGGTTAGATACAGATTTATTTAGACAATTGATTTAATATGTTCTTTTAGACTTTATTGTAATTTACTCAAGATTATAAGTACAAGATACAGGTTCTTTATCACCCCCAAGTGACTTGGAAGTATGTCTGAAGACTTATAAAGACTAAAACCCAGATTTCAATACCTTTGGTGGGTAAAACACAGATATCCTAATGCCTAACATAAAAACAAGCTGTAACTTATCTAAGACTGTAAGAACCAGGTACACATTTTTTTTCTTGTAATTTACCTAAAACTATAACAATCAGATACATATTTGTTTCCTTGTAACTGGTCTATGACTAAAAATTAGATATGGATTATTTTGTTCTCTTTTATCATATCTAAGACTGTAAGGACCACATGCATGTAATGTTTTGTTATTCTTAGTTATGTAAGACTATAAAAACCAAGTACAGATCATTATTATTTTCTTTTAACCTTCCTAAAACTTTAAGAAGCAGTTACATATAGTTTTGGGCCCAGCATGGCCAGGTGGTTAGGACACTCGACTCGCAATCTGAGGGTTGCGGGTTCGGATTCCCATCACACCAAACATGCTCGCCTTTTCAGCTGTGGGGGCATTATAATATGATGGTCAATCTCACTATTCATTGGTAAAAGAGTAGCCCAAGAGTTGGCTGGGGGGGGGTGATGACTAGCTGCCTTCCCTCTAGTCTCACACTGTTAAATTAGGGACGGTTGGTGCAGATAGCCCTCGTGTAGCTTTGCGCAAAATTCAAAACAAACAAACATATTGTTTTGTAAAATTTTAAGGACCAGATAAAGATTTTTTTTATCTTGTAACTTATTTAAGACTGTAACAGCCAGATGAAAATAAGTTTTCTTTATGTAATTTCACACATATATGGTTCTTTTCACATATATATGAGTTAAGATAGACTGACTCATTATCTTGGTCGTGATAAACACTTTTAGCATTAGGTTAGCAAAAAAGAAAGAAAAAACAACTGGATTTTTGACAAATCCTTTGCAGCTATCTGAAAGTAGAATTTATAGGGGATTCTCTCTTATAGATTGAACTGTTGACTACAGACCTAGCAAGTGAGCGTTCCACATCTCAAAAGCTAGAAAACAATAGAATGCTGCTTGAAAGACAGGTAAGATAAGTTATTGACTCCCTTTTAAAAATCTTTGTTATTCACTTGCTAAATATTAAAAAGATATTTTAAAAAATGTTAAAACTTTTATTTTTTTAGAAAATTTAGACTATTAAAGAAACAATTTTTTTTTCTTAAAAGACTCATATTTTAAGCAGATTGCATCTGTAGATATTTAAATTTAATGAATAATTTAACTACTTCTTTCTTTGGTTAATAATATTTGTTAATGGGACAGGATAAACTTAGAACACAATCAAAAAAAGTATTTGTCGAAGCATGGGTGCATCGATTTTGAGATAAAGCTTTATCTATAGTGTTCCTCTATTTTATTGCCAAATAAAGTTTGGAATAAAAATCTTGAGTCTTCTTTCACTTGTAATTATTTACTGGTGGGTTAGCTGTAAATTCCGAGACTTACAATTCTAAAATCTGGTATTCCGTATACCATGGTAGACAGAGTGCAGATAGACCATTGTGTAGCTTTGCACTAAGAAAATAACAACATTAGTAATTAAGTGTTCCATAATTTGTACTTTTATTAAATATAGAGGACTTTAAGAAATACATTTTAAATAGCATTTTATTTAACATTCTTGGAACTTTGGTAAACTACAGCAAAATCTCTCAACTATATATATATGATTTCTTTATACTTGCATTATGAGACATGATATAAAATTAGACTTATTAAAATAGGTTAAGGATTTTGGTTTTTTTTGTATCTTTATTTTTCTATCTAGTAATGAAAAATAACATAAAAACCCTATAACCTGAGCATTTTCGAAGGATGGACTTTTCTTCTTCAGGGGCAAACTAGGAATGGACCGAATATACATTTTACTTCATGAGCCTACGTGTTTTTCAGACATAGTAATGAAAATTGTCATCTTCTACTGACTACATTATCTCACATGTGACCAGAGTTTTAAACATTATTTGTACCATTCCAATTTCTTTTTCCTTTATATTTTAGTTGTATTATACATAACCAATTATTTAACCTGTTTGGAAGACCTAACATAAATAAATATTTTGACATAATATTAGTGAAGAAATATTTCCTGGGAAATCACATTTCACCTGCTTCTCACTTCTTGTTAACAACAGCAGTGATGAGATGTGGCTTCAAAGTAATGTCAGTGTTGTCCTACCCATCTTGTGCAACTTTCCTTAAACTGGCTACATGCTTAAGCCAACCACAAGCACAAAAGTTCATTGATGCTTCATTGAGGACTTGACAAATATTTGGTCAAACAGGATTGCTATGGTTGCACTTTCTTCACCATATTTCACTTGGAAACAACTATTGATATCAAGATATTGATGGCAGCATGTGTGCATTTGTCAGTTTCAGACCCGGGTCTACAACCTTGTTAAAGATACCAAAATATATATCCAGCTTCATGCATCGCAATGACTTTATGAATCAGTGGGTTCCTTTTCATAATTATAGTTCTCACTTTGTGGATGAGGGAGTTGGTTTTGATTGGTTTGAGGTGTAGTTTTTGAGCCTGTTGCTGTCCTATTGTCTTTGTATGAGTTTTTATGGTGAACACCAAAGACTCCCTTCTTTGAAATATTGTGTGCTATGATTATCCAACATTTAACAATCTTGCTGTATAAATATTTCTATCTAGAAATAGTGGACCAAAATTCTTCAGCCATTGATGAAGTTTTAGAGGTATTTTAAACCTTTTTAGTAAATTGCTTTTATGTATAGGACTGATGCTTGTTTAATCGCATTTGTTGTTTTGGAAATTTTTTAGAATTGAAAAATGAAAGGGAATTTACTTGCATTTCAGTTATCTGGAAATAACTCTCTTTGCAAGAAATATAGTAGCTCTTAACCCTATTGATATTGAATATTTCTCATGGAACCATGACAAGATATTGTACTTTGATTTATATGCTGTGAAAAAAATCTAACTATAAATATTTGTCAAATTATGGTGCTTTAGTCTATGATATACTTTTTTTTCTTTAAACTGTTAAATTCATAAAGTGTCTGACAAACTGGTGAGTTAAGTTAAAAGTGTTTTTTCATATATCGGTTTCTTTACTGCATGAACAAAGGTTTTATAACAACTAGTGAAAGAAACTTTTAAAGGTGTATTTAGTTGTTAGAGTGATAATGGTTTTTAGAGACCAAAAATTAATATATCTTTTTAATCATATGCAATGTACAACAGTTCTTGTGCTTTGAGCTGTTTTTTTTAATTTCTAATTTTATTTCACTTGAACGTTTCAGGAAGTAATTTGTAACATTGAAATATTTATTGGATAATACTGAAAAACTTTTAATAACAAACAATAAATAGGTTTGTTTCTTCATAATTAAATTTGTGTTTTGGTGCCATTTTGATAGTTTCTCAGGTTTCATAGCTTCAATATTTTATAGAATAAAGAGATGAGAGCCAAACTGCAGGAACTAGAAACTTCTCAACGTGCCAAAACTAAGTCTGCCATTGCTGCTCTTGAATCAAAAATTGTCCAACTAGAGGAACAGTTAGAACTGGAGACAAAGTAAGATAATTTTCTTTATCATATGTGTAGTACATAAACAATTTACATTTGCATTGTGGTAAGTAGTACATTTAAAACATCATACTCGACAAATTTTTACAGAAAACATAGTTAAAAACTTCTGTGTGAATTACATGTTGCATTTTAGTTACACATAAACTTTGATAAAATCTTCAACAGAGAACGTCAAGCAGCGGCAAAAGTCTCTCGTAAAATAGAAAAAAAAATGAAAGAGGTGGTGATGCAGCTGGAGGATGAACAACGTCATGCCGACCAGTATAAAGAACAAGTAAGCAGCATTTAGGGGTATACCTGGTAATCTAGATAACGTATTTGAATTTTAGATGATAGTTTATAATCTTTTGAAACAGTTAGTGAATGTATATGTGTCATAATAATCAGAAAGTGTCAGCTGATCCAAGTCACATTTTTTGACTTGGTGCACATTTCAGCCTACCTATCTTTATGTAAGGCCTGCTCTAATGCAAATATGTTTACAATTGATTATGGTGTCATCAATTAGAGATTACTATAGCTCAGTTATTAATTACAATACAGTGTTTGCTAAATTATTTCTTATTTTAACACATCTAATGAAAGTGTATCATTTCTGACATAGAAGAGTTTCGAATATAGCTGCCAATAAATATATTTTTTTTATTTGGAATTTATCAAACACAAAATTAATACTTAAAAAAAAATTAACATTGACATTTGAGCTTGCAAAAATATATTACTTGTATTAGGTTTAGACTAGGTTTGAAGGAAAAAAAAAAAGAGTGAAAATATGTATAAAAACAAACATGAATGAACCAGGAGATAATATGTCAAAGTTGAAAAATGTATAGATGATATATTGTAGTCATTTACACACTTTTCAATTTTGTCACATGATTTCCCAGTTCATTCTTACAGTTTTTGTTGATAGATATATTCACCTTTTTTTTTTTTTCTCAAATCCAGCCTCAGTACAAGACAAGTAATATATATATTACTGGTATGATCATCGTATTCCTATTCCATACTAACTTATAGATGTAAATCTTATTCATAGGTAGACAAAGTGAACACTCGTGTCAAGGCACTGAAACGTCAACTGGATGAAGCTGAAGAAGAATGTTCAAGAGAAAAGGCTCAGCGACGTAAAGCTCAAAGAGAATTAGAGGATATGACAGAGTCTAATGAGGCTATGTCTCGAGAATTAGCCAGTCTGAAAAATAAATTAAGGTATTTCTTTTATTTGAATGTAGAAATAGAGTTTGATGATACTGTTTATCTAGCCAATGTGCTGTTTCTTTTGAAGTGTTTCTTGACAACTTGAACACTGTATGTTTTAATCTTCAAGTGCTGAAGACTTGTGTTCTCCTTTAATGATTATTCTATTTGAAATTCAAAAAAACCATGTTGTTTCCAAAATGGTACTACCTTCCTCACCCAAAGCTATTTTGACCTTGGTTTGCCTTCTACGCATTGATAAAATTTTGCACAGTGCACCAGTCTTTTATACCCCTTTATTTTTTGCTTCATTGCAGCAACATATGCTGATCATGTGACTACCCTCCACCAATCATACTGCGCCACCTATACTAGCACAGTTAGCTTCCTCTAGCATTGCAGTACAATCACTTACTCAATTGGCACTATAGTGTTTAGACGTGTGTTTTCTTTGTTCTTCATGTGAATTCTGCTAGTTCATGTGTGGTTCATTGCCTGTATCAATTTATAGTTTTGAATTTATAATTAAATTTGTCGTTTAACTTACGTTTTCTTTTGAACTATTTCTTAATATTTTTTTGGAATTCCATGTAGACTTATGAATTCGAGGAAGTTTGTGCCAATACTGACACATGTAATGTCACTATCCCCCAGCATGACAGGTTGACATTGTCAGATGAGGAGGTTCAAGCTTTAATTCGTAGGAAGTTGAATGCTTTGGCTAGTTTTTAGTTCATTCTCCTTTTCCCCATGAGCATGCTTCTGAGGAAGTTTTTCATGAGGATGAGGACAATTAAATTTGACTCCCTTTTTCCATCCCCGGCTATTTTTGGCCAGTCAAATAATGCTGACAGTTAGGAGAGTTTGCCAACCACACCTTTCCTACAACTTATTGATCAGGTATGTCAAATTTTACATGTTTCACCTTTAACTCTTGATTCTTCTTCTTTGTTGGGTGACGATCCTCATCCTGATAATTTTTTTTCCTCCCTCACTCGACATTTTTGTTCTTGCTCAACGTTTTGCTGATAAATTGCAGTCAGGTGTTTGTATGCCCCATCCCCCCTTGACTGTTGGACCAGTATTTTTTCACTTATCAACATGCCTCAAATCCATATTTGATTCACAACATCTGGATCCTCTCCTTCCCTTGTGGGGCTCGAATCCTGATGCTTTGATTAATTTTTTCTATGATTCCCCTTACTTTGACCAACCTTTAATGTGTTATTTCCTCTCTACAATTGTTATCTCAAGTCTTCTGCCAGTCTTCTGATCAAATCTTGACAGAACTCGGGACCCTTCTGTGTCCTGTTTGTCGGCTTTGGCACTGTCTCTCACCACCTGGATCTTATATTGTTGGGATTTGCTTGGGCGTGATGCATTACTTATATGGGGGTGTTTCTCCCCTGTTCTTCTTTGAGGGAGCTTCATCAAGCATCATTTCTTAACAAAATGGTTTTTGGGGGTTGTCTTGAATCTTTAGAGTCCAGGGTTGATGTGGCAAGATTACATTCTTCCTTATCCTCCCTTGTCTCTCATTTGTCTGTCAGAGGGTCTTTGCCTTCGGTTCCAGTCCCCCCCTCATCTTCTATCCCAGTTTTTTTTCTTCCTCCTCAGGATTGTGCCTCGTCCAGTCATCTAGCAGAGTCGGTTCATGACCTTCTTCATAAAGAAGTGGTGCCAATTCTGGAAACACCCCAATTCACCATGGAATCCTACCGTTCCTTTCAGTGGGTTTTTCCCCAGATTTCTGATGACTAAATTCGACAAGACAAATATATATTCTCATATCCCCATCACTCTGGGGTCACGTCATTATCTTCGGTTCTTCCATGGGAGGTGTGTCTTTCGGTTACGAGCACTTCTGTTTGGTTTTGCTTCAGCTCCTTATGTGTTCTTTCATGTTGTTCATTCTTTTGCATGTCATCTTCACACATTGGGTCTTCAGACTTATCATCACATAGATGACTGACTACTGCTAACCTCGTCCCAGGCCCAGTCAGTCACTCACACCTGCTTCCTTCTTCTAGAGTCTGCTTGGGTGGCGTTTCTCATAAAAGTGGAGAAATATTTTCTAAACTCCACACAATACCTCATTTGGGGGTTCTCTTCAATTTCCATCTCAGTTGGGCCCAGCCTGCTCCACTTTGGCTCCTGGATATGGAGTGGCTAATCTCTCAAGCACTATCTTCTCCCTCTCTTCCTGCTCAAGAGGTTTTATCTCTTTTGGGGATGTGGGCCTCCCTGGAAGCTATCGTTCCCTTGGTCGAGTGCAAATGCATTCTCTTCAGTGGATGCTTCTCAATCAGTGGAATTTCTCCCATGATCCCATGGACCATCCTATCACCTTTTCCCCAGGGATCAGGGCCAACCTTGTTTGGTGGCTCTTACCACAGTGGGCATTCCAGTTCCTCTACCTATTTCTGATTCTCATTTGTTCACCAGTGCTTCATATTAGTGGTTGGGGGCTTCACTGAACTCTTGGGAGATTTGGTTCAGTGGTCCATTGAGGAATCTATTTTTCATATCAACTTTTTGGAACTTTTGGTGGTTTGGGCTCTTAGTCATTTCCTACTTTTCTTGTGGGAGCAGGTGGTTATGGTTCATTCCGACAATTCCATTTTCTTCAGCTATATTACTAAACAAGGGGGAACCAAGTCCAAGTCCCTGTGTTTTTAAATACTCCACCTCCTGTACTGGGCCCACGATTACAACATAACAATCTCGACATGTCATGTTCCTGGTATTATGAATCTGGTTGCAAACTACCTGTCCTGGCCCAACCAAGTTTTTCCTATGGCGTGGTCCCTTCATTCTCAGGTTTTTCAGTGGGTGTTTTCTCCCCTGGGAACAACATTTATAGATGTGTTTGCCACTTACTGGAATGCCAAACTTCCTTCCTTTTGATCTCCTATCCACACCCTTCAGCTCTAGGGGTGGATGCATTCATTCAGGATTGGAGGGGCCTTCATCTGTATGCTTACCCTCAAATCAGACTCATCTCCAGAGTTGTTTCTTTCATCCAAACCACTCCTTGTCAGGTATTTGCCTGCTCAGTCGTGGTTTCCTCTGCTCTGGCCCTTACTGAAGCAATAACCCATGCCCTTACCTCAGTCCAGGTTGCTCCTCTGATAACTTAGATCGGATGTCTTTCATCTCGTTGTTGCCAAACTCCATCGTAATGCATGGCTTTTGTCCAGTCCATCAGCTCCTCTCAGGACTCACCTCTCATGTAGTGTCTTTGCTTACCCATGCCATTTGTCCTTCCTTTTTGTCTGTGTATCAGAGACATTGATCTACCTTCAAACAGTGGTCCATTTTCCATGGCTTCCATCATTCTGTTCCTCACCTATCCCAGTTCTTTGCCTGGTTATTTGATCAGGGTTTGTCCGTGTCAACTGTTTCTAGTTATTGGGCTGCCCTGTCCAACATCTTCTATTTCTCCTGTTTTCGTAAATCTTTCTCATCCCCTGTTATTTCGCTTCTTTTTTGTCTTGTTCATCCACCCTGTCCCTTTGCACTTTCAGATTGGAATCTCAATGTAGTTCTCCATACTGTGGCTCATTCTCCCTCTGAATCCATTGCTATATATTCTTTGTATAATCTTTCTCTTACAACTTATTTCCTTCTCCTCCTAGCTTGTGGTCATCAATGTTCTGATATTTATGATATTAATGTTTCCCACACCCTTTACCATTTTTCTTATGTTCTCCTTTGTCCCAATCATTCTTTCCTTCCCAAAACATCTGCTGCTCATGAAGTTTGTTTTGCCTTCTCTCCTATTTCCTTGCCTTCCACTTCCCATTTATATTCATGTTCCGATACAGATCATCTTTTTCGTACAGTTCATTCTCTTTACTGTTATATGTCTCATACTAACTCCTTTCATGGTTTCTGTTCTTGCCTTTTTATTCTGTGGAATCCCTCTGTTTCCCGTGATCTTTCTCCTATTACCTTTACTTGCTGGGTTAGGCAACTCACACGACTAGCTTATTCTGACTTGTTAGTGGAAGGTCATCAGCTGTTTAATTAGTATATTCACACCAAATATGGCATTTAACTATGTCTTTAGCTGCTCGGATCCATTGTTCTTGGGAGTAGATTATTCAAGCCAGTATGTGGACAACTCCCAATACTTTCATCGCAGATTATTTGCTCGACGTAGCTGTGTATTCTTGGTCGAGTATCGTCTTCTGCCTGTTCTCCACATGTCTGTTTACCTTTGACTGGGGTAAATCAACATTTTATATTTTATCTGTTTCTCTGCCTTTTTCTGTACAGTTAATTTACATTATATATTCGGATCCCACCTAGTGGTAGGTGTTGCCTGGTCAGGTATGCTGAATTTTTTGTCTTAGCACTAACTCTGTATACTTTCTAATGCTCACTGTATTGATGGGGTGTTTCTATAAGGCCACTTATCTGGTGGTGTATCTATATTTTAATATTACTTTTTTATTAATATATATATATATATATATATATATACTGAAGAACATCACTCATGGACTTTATAAGTAAAGCAGATAGGGATTTTTCCCCATCCCTACTGACCCCTGATTCTTACAGTCCAGGTCTTTCTGCTTTTCAAAATAGGGAAACACATGGCAGTTGTTCTCCACTTGTTTGATTGTTTTGCACCTTCACTGGCACCTCCACCTTTCCAATGTGGGATTCTACCTTTGGGTAAGCAGAGGTAGTACCATTTTGAAGGTTAACATTTTCTAACACTGAAAATTTATTTCTGATGTGTACTTACCTCTACTCATTCACTTACACTCACTGTTCAAACTTTTAGCAATGCTTAGAGGGCAAATCAAGGTTGAGATAGCTTTGGGTTAGAGGAGGAGGTAATTACTTATATCTATCGGAAAAACATTTTCAGTGTTAGAAAATGTTAACTTCCCTCACAAAGATAAAATAATTTTCCCACTAAGCCTATTTTCTACTAAGGAAACCTGTACTTTTGTGGGTAGTAGCTTGTAGCTTTTTATCCTTTCAGAGCGTTCCAGTTTTAGACTTCTCTGAAAGTAATTGCTGTTTTCTTCTTTATGAATTTCATGAAGTGTTGAACATTTTCAGCATTGTTGAACTAATGAAAATTATTTTCCTTCAGACGAGGAACAGGAACCTCTTCTGGAAGTTCATCATCCTTACCAACCTCTCGTTACTTAGCAACTAAACGGGGCTCTTTGACTTCATCTGGAAGTGGTGGTGGAGATGAAAGTAACATATATCTTCAGGATGAATCTCCTACAAATGACAGCCAAGCATAGTTAGCCTTTTACCTGTCTTGGCTGCTACACCATTACCAACCAGTTGCTAAAAAACAAGGTGAAAGCATATGATCTGAGGGTTGTGTTCACAAGGGAGAAAGATTGAAATTAATCATGGTTGCCAAGCAACCTTAAGAGGACATTCCTATAATTATATCAAGTGGTCACATATTTGCATATTCATAATATCTACTTTAATCTAATTTATAACCACCTGAGCACAGAATAAAAATCTTAAAGTTTTTCTCCATTTAACACTGTGTTTGTAAACATACCAGTGAAATATATCCAGGGTATTTTTGTTTTACTCGAAGAATGTCTGTCTTCTCTTGAAGTGTAATTCCATTTGCTATCAAATCAAATGCTTAATCAATGTGACTTTTATGCCACTAGATTCAACTTTATATAAGTTTGATATATTTTATAAAGTTACCTGTGTGGGAATTGATTGTGAAAAATTTTAAGATGTGAATTATATCTTAATATTATATATAGCCTAGTAGAATTAAACACACAAGAAAGAAATTTTAATGTCTTGCTCTTTGTTTCAGTGTGATAAAAAAGAATCAGTAAATATAATGGGTGACTAATGAGAATACTCAGTTTTTAACAAAACTGTTTCTATAAATGTTTTAAAATTTGTATAAATGAAGATTTATCTGTCACCTTATTTACATTTGTGAAATGAACTTCTTGGCTGTGAAAGGTTTTAAGCCATTCATTTAAAACCAGTTGGCCTGAAAATTAATTGGTTAATATTTACATTATTGTAGGGTAAGCATTTTTAGAATTTATAATGAACGTCTGTCAGCAGATGGAATATTTTATACAAATTAATTTGTTTTTGCCTTTAAGATTATTAAAAAGTATTTACCACAGATAATGTTTTGAAGATATATCATCATAGTTATGTTCTTATGATTAGAAGTTTTTCCTCCAGAGACCTGTACATAAATGTTTTGCATTTCAAGGAAAGATAAAGTATATAAAGGTAATAGGTACAGAGAACTTGAGCAGGTCAATGGTGCAAAAATATCTGATTCAAATATAATAATACAAAGTTAGGTAAATGTGGAATCAAATAAAGCTATTTTTATAAGTAACTATACACATATAGATATTTTTAGTACAATGTGATTGGTGTTTATTAAAGTGTTCTTTGTCAACTTTATAGATTAACATTTATCAGAAATGCTTATGCAGTTAATATATGTGCTATTTTGAAGCACAGGCCTTTCGAAAAGTAATCCATTATGCTCTAAAATATACAGTTTATTCATTATCTGGGCTGAAAGTGGATTAAATATAATTTACTATAAAAAGGAGATATCATTAGTAGTTGATATTTAATATTTTCTTACTCTGACACCTACTAAAATGGTGCCTTTTTTTATATACAATACAAAAAATTATCAGAAATTATGTATTAACATAAGCCAAATTCAGATTACAAGATTTGGACCTATAAATCTTTTTTTTTGGACACTTATATCTTGGTTTAATAAACCAATCAGTTTAATCTAATATAATAAAATGGTATATTTTCAAAGATTTTATTAAATAAAGAGTAGTTTAACAAATTTATTCTTAACTTTTCAACATATGAAAAGTAAGTTAAGTTTTTTTACTATCTTAATCTTATGAACAAGTTTTAAACTGTATTTTCTTCGAAAATGCATTGATTATGGTTCTTAGAAAGAAAACAAGATTAAGTGTTTTAAGAAACAAAACAATTTAGGAATTAAATGAGTCAGTGTGTACTTTATACTTATTCCAGGTTCAACCCTTAAGTGTAAAACTTTATTCACAGTTTCATTCCTTTGCCTGAAAGTTTTCATAATTAATGCATTCAGATGTAAGTCGGGAGTTATAATTTCGTAAACAATCATTGTGAAAAAAAAAGGCTATTTGAATCTTGGATTATTTGAGGACCATGTAAAATTTGTAACAGTATCCAGCCAGTATTAAAGCTCATTTTTTATGTATGAAACAAAGTAGAGGGATATATATAAGTGTATTATGACAATTGTCAATTTTTTTATTTCCGGATAAATGCTTACATTTGTATAACCTATGCATTTTACTGGTTGGTTAAATAAAATGAACTTTGCTGTATTGTTTATAACCTATTTTTATGTATGATATCTGACAACCATCATTTGATGTTACTAATTAATTAAAATTTTTATATATTAAATAATTGCCTTGTAATTTGCAATTGTTATTTTACATTTTTATTTTTAACATTTTCCTTAGTTGAATATATTCTATAAAACGGAAATGCTTTAATAAAAAGTAAGCTAGCAATAAACTTAGAGTAATTAAAACACATAAGATTAGACACAATAGAAAAAAAGGAAAATAGCATTGTAATCCGTTATAAGACACTAGTATCAGTTTCTATAAATACATATTCATGATATTGATAAAATAATCCTTTACACAGTTAAACATGTTGCATTGGAGACATGACAAACTATGGCAACAAACCTTAGAATGTTTAAAATAACTCGGAGATATAAACATTCTACAAGTAATTAAATTAGCCATTATTATTATGTATATAATTAAACATGTATTTAATTGATATAAACAAAATTACACACACTGAATTAACATTAGGAATATGCCTAAACATGTCACTAATATTGATATAATGGACATGCCTAAACATGACACTACTATTAACATTATGGACATGCCTAAACATGACACTAATATTAACATTATGGACTTGCATAAAGCATGAAAATGTTACTAACAACCTTGAATTAAAACAAATCATGACAGTCATATGAATACTAATAAACAAATATTATGCATTCTGCAAACAATCAAACTCAAAAGTAAATACCATACTGATATTCACTAACAAACAGAAAATAACTAAACATGAATCAACGATAACCCCCCCCCTTTTTCAAATTAAAAACACTCATGGTAATAAAGAAAAATTTAACATGATTAAAGTATAAAAGGTAAAAAAAAGTTTAATTTATTTCTAACATGTTACAACCATTTCTTCTGCAGGAGTAGCTTTGAAAGCGATAGCAGAAGAATAAAGTCTGGATAACAGCTTGCATAATAAAACCTAAATTACT